GAAGTATTATTAATAAAATTAATATTATTACTTTTGATAGTTCTTCAATACAAATACAGAATGAATTGATTGTAATTATAATATTTATAATCATAATTTAATGTATTTTTTTTCAAAGTTTATATACTGATCATTTTAGCATGTAAACATTATTAATAAGCTTAATAACACGTTTATATAAATTTAGTATGTTGTATTTAATATTTTATATAAAAACTCAACTATAAAAAAAAGATAAATATTTATTGTATAAAAATTGAAAACTGTAATATTTTAATAATTAATATCTTTAATAAATATTGAAGAAATTTTTCTTTACTTATATAATAACTTATATAATAACTTATATAATAAAATTACCATTAAGTATTTTATTACGCTATTTAAAAAAATTATCTCCTTAAAAAAATCACTAATACATATACTTTTTACTTATCTTAAAAACAAACTTAATCATTCTATATGAATAAAAGTCAATGTTTTTGACATTGCCCATTTATTTCTCTTTGAAACTAGTCCATAAGTATAATAAAGATTAGTGTGCCAGAAGACGAAAATGTTATTACGTATCTACAGGGTTTGACAACAGTAGCTGTTGAATTACGAAGCGCTCTTTAACTATGACTAATACATCAAATAAAAAAAGAATATTATCAGTGAAGACAAACTTGAAGTAAGTAAAAATATTTAGAAATGAGTTATGTATAAAGCAATTATATTGGATTATTTGCATTATAAAAGAATCAACAGTAACCTTTTACAAAGTGCAAAACAGCCAACATTTAAAATTTACAGAAAAATAATTTTATATAAATAAATATTATGACATTTCCTAATTAATACAATTCCATTACGATAAAAGTTAAAAAAAATTGATTGTTACTATTGATAAAAAAATTGATAGTATTGTATAAAGGTAAATATTGTAAAATATATACATTTAATTATTATTTAATTATTTTACTTTTGGCTACATGCATTATTAATTTAGAAAATATTATATTAATCTTCAACATAATATCCAAGTTAAACATTATAAAATCAATTTTTTATTATTTAAAAACTGTTAAAGTATTTGCTAAAAATAATATTTATATAAACTTTTATACAAAATCAATACATCGGATGATTTTTCAACTAAACAAATTTGATCAAAGTTTTAGTACAAGAAATATGCATTTCTTAATATTTTAAGAACATATTTCATAAGTATCTACTTATTCATAAGCACATACTCCATCCATTATACAGAAATGATACACAAATTGTTTTGATAGAGATATTTAATGCTTCACATAATAATTTTATAAAAATATAAATTTAATTAATATGCTATAATTACAATATAAAAAGAATTGAATAAAGGGTATAATAATATTATATCAATACATAAAAAGAAATGTAATTATTTGAAGAACCTACCATCTAAAATTTATATTTTTTTAAATATTAATATTAATATATTTTTAAATATGGATAGATTTCATATGTATAACATACAGAATATTAAATATTGAATATAGAATTTAAAATATAAAATACAGCATATAGAAGAAAATATCTATTATGTAGAATTTTCAAAAGTTTTATTTAATGTGGTGTTATAAAAACATGGAAACTACAATACCTGTTATCTGAGACGTTTTCTTTATGCGTGTATTCCTAATAATTTATTGATTTATCATTTATACACTTATAATTATTATAACTATAATATAATATAGTCTTTTACTTGTCGAAATTTGTTAATTGAAGCAGTAAAAATTTTTCGTATCGCAAAATACGTCTTTATAATAATTTTTGTTTTTTTACTAACCTTCT